TTTTTTTTCTTTTTCTTTTTTTTTTTTTTTTTTTTCTCCCCCCCCCCCCTTTTTTTTTTTTGCCATGCCGCATCCGAAGGGAAATGATATTATCTGACAGCTGAGTTACAATTACACACACACACACACGAAAAAAAAAAGCAAAGTCAAGGTTATCAAAACCCCTGCAAACTTATCTGCACAAAGCGCCTTCAATGTCCACGCCAAGAGAGGTTTTGGTGGGAGCTAACCCGAAAGGAAGATAATATTGGGTTGGATTTGTAATTGGGGAGGCAATTAAGAAGGAAATAAATAGAGATAAAGGCTTTCTTTCGCTTCAGATGTTAAATTTAAAATGGAAGACGTGCTTGCCCAGATTTTGTCGCGTTTTACAAGGCATTTCGTGGTGTTTGCAGTGCTTTCAAATGGTCAGACCCACTTTGGGGCGGATTTTGTTTGCTTCTCTTTCTGTTGCTTCCTTTTAAAACCTTTTATAGCTTCAGTTTTCGTTTATGTTGAACCCGAATTTTGATTCGTGCCGAAGGTAGGAGACCTTTCTCATGTAATGGAAGCATTTGGGGGGTGATAGTGTTTCCGAGGGGATTTCCAGGGCTTGGTGGCATTAAAGCTTTTCTGCAGAGGCGACAGCGGGTCCGTGTCACGCCAGCAAATTTTGAAGGTGCCTTTGGCTAAACCAAGTTTTTTCTTTGAATTTCCCCAATGCGGTGCCCAGGAGGTCGCTGCGATCGCAGGAGCCGTTTTGCTTTTCTCCTACACCTTAGGCAGAGATATTGGCCGGCCGCTGGTGCCAGGATTTTCTCATGACCAAATTCAAAGCCCAAGTATTTGCTGTGTTTATTTATGTACGTGTGAAATACGTTTGCCTTTGCAAAGTGTATGTGTGCGTATCTATACGGGTGTGTAGAGTGAGGAGAGTGTATATGGGATTACAATTACCTCCGGATTTACCTATATGTGCCCACACAGCTCATAAAGGCAAATCTATTTCATACAACCCCGGCTCACGAAAAATACACTTGATGGAAAGGCTGCTCGGGGGATCTCCAGGACGAGCGAAAATAGACCTCTTTCCCCCCAAATAACACGCCTTGAGGCGAATATTTCAGCCGCTGCCGACCGTTTGGAAGCCCAGATAATTTGGGGGTTTTCTTGGGGTGGTCAAGGGTGACTTGGGGAAGCCCCAAGAGCTACGGAGGACGCCGCAAGTCACGCTGCTGGTGCCAGATTCATTTTAATTAGAGGTGTTTTAAGCCCCTCCGCCCAGCCTGGTGAAGCCAGAACGGCCCCGTACCGTGATATCCCCCGGCCCCCGCGGCGGGGGGGGGGGGGGGCCG